GATTCTGCTTTATTTCTTTCTTACTCGTTGGCCAAGGAAAGGTTACATGCATTAAAATATAAACCTGAGAAGTCTATGGCCACAGCACACTGTACCCAACTCCAGCCACTTACAGCTAGTATCTTACAGGGGAAAAATCCTAACTGGCTGCCATGGTGGTGGGCATGGTCTGTGCCCTAAATCACACAGTGTTGTAAGTCAATGTTGCTTTAATTAAAAAAGAGAAAATTTTGAACTAAATAGCAATGCCCCCCCTCAAAAATGTGTTTGAAATCAAAGCAATAACTTATATGCTACCTGAAGCGAAGAAAGGAAGAGAGGACAAAAAATAGTAAAAGCAGGCTATGTTAAGAATTAATAAAGGTCTAAGTACCTTCTTATCCAAACTCCTTTTTGTATCTCTATAACAACAACAACAAAAAGCAAAAATTATAAAAATCAGTAAGGAAATACACCATGTCTGGCACACTCCAGTGAAGAGATCTGCCTAGAACTACCACATCTGGAACCAACTGCACTCACCATATAATCCTCAGGAGATTATTTAATAAATGCATAAATGAATTATTTAGGGATGACTCTGACACTGACCACCTCCAGCATGTCCCTCTCCTGCACTCTGACACCCATCCCACAGTTCAACTCTGTGCCCCCGCCCCCTGAGGTGTGGCTGTGCCCAGGGCCATGCGGGCACACTTCTCAACCCCAGGGGGCGCTGTCTCCCAGCACCACTTGTGCACTGAGGGCTCTCAATTCCCTACCTGACACTGAGCTGGCTGCACTTGGGGGCTGCGCTTGATGTGCCCAAGAACTATCTTAGGTTACCTGTCCTGCATCACACAATCCCCAGGACAGTATTTGTAGTTTTTCTACCATTGCAGCACAACCTCTGTTCTAGTAGCCTTATTCTATCACCTTGTTAATGCACGCTATCGTATCTGGCATGCCTTTCCTTCCCCCTCTCTATTCAATCTGATCCATTACTTTAACCACCAAACTCCTTTACCCTTCCAGCAGATTCTGCCACGAATCAATTGATTTGGCCACATTATTTCATTTTTTGTCTTCTAGTCTCTACACCATCCCCTTACATGAAAGTCCTACTCCAGGTTCCACTTTCGCTCTATTGTTAACATACTTTACACTTCTTCAGTAAGTGACCTTCACTGTCATGATGTAGTGGTTACAACCCCAAACTATCCCTAGCTCCCATCCTTCACACCCTCAAGGCTTACACATCCAGTGTCCACACTTGAATCAGTGACCTGAATGTCCCTTGGTCACAACGCTACAGTGGCGTTCTCATTGCTCTATCAGAACGCTGCATTTTCCTGGGTTCTGCCATAATTATTACATCCAAGCTATAATCGTGGCTGTCACCCTCACTTTCTCTTTACTGCCCAGTGCTAATGAGTTAGCAAATCCTAGTCCTCCTATCATCAAAATTATTTTGAACCCACTACCCACTGCCAGCCTCAACCCTTCATCCTGGACGGTCCATGTTCTGCAGCACTCTCTCTCAACCCATGGGAGCTTTGCTTCCCTTCCCATCCATATTTTTTTCTTTTGCTTTCTTTTTTTCTTTTTTTTTCTTTTTTTTTCTTTTTTTGGGGGGAGGGGGGTAGTAGAACTGAGGTGTGTCTGAGTGGTACAGGATGGAGAAGATTCACCAAAAACAGGGTGGATCCACTAAAATACACTGCTGAGGGGAACAGCAGGGAGACAGGAGAGGTCTGCTGCACCATGGGGGTAGCTCCCCGGCCAGGGATTGAACTCAGGCCATGGTGGTAATAACACTGAGACTTAACCCCTAGGCCACCAGGGAGGCCCCCATCTTTGTTTCTAATCAGTCTTCTCACTATTCACAAGATCATTCACTCCACTTACTTAAAATACTTCAATAGTTCCCTACAGTTTCCAGATAAAGTGTAACCTATTTCAAATGTCATGAAAAGTCTTTCACATGAAAAGCCCTTTTCCCTGAGTTAGAATGATAAGCTTTCTGGCTCCCACGCTTCATCTGCTCTTTCATTGCCTATCAGTGGCCATGATAAAGAGCTGCCAAGTCCCTGATCTGTCCCCAAAAAGAGGTATCACCACCTTGAGTAAAGTCCCCAGGAGACCTCCCGCACAGCCCCCTACAAGGCTCATGTGGTGAGATGACAACAAGCAGAAGAAAACGAAGGCCCCTCATATTCCCAGGTCCCTTCGAAAGCTGGGGCCAAACGTACGTCAGACACAGTCCCCAGGCATCCTGCCACAAGTGCTTCCTCGACATGGTAACAGAAACTCATATGTATAAAATATATATTCCATGGAAAAATGATAGAGGTCGGTATAATTTTCCTTAAGAAATGAAGATCAACTGTAATTACATGTGACATTTGAAATAAGGCAGGGTTGTTCCAACAAACCATTTCCTCTTCAAGTATTTCAGGTGGATTAGCTATACCAAAATGTTTTATTTTAGCATGTGTATCAAAAACTAATTTTCCTTCCTTTCAAATAAAATATTTTCATTCAAATTAGCCTCCAATGGAAACAGAATATACCTTAACATTAAAAAAAAAGAAATAAGCTCATATATGGTTAATCTCTATGTTTATACTCTACCAATATGGTTTAAATGGTTTTAAATTTTTAAAAAGTAAAATAAAATGAATGGTTTAAGAAATAATACAAAATAATAATAATAATACAGAAATAATACTGATACTTATTATTAGCCTAAACCTTCATTTGGGGAAAGCAGGTTTGCAGTATTATCACTTGGAAATTTGATTCTACAAATGATTTTGTATTTTTTATAAAAATTCCTTATGAGCTACATTTTTTAAGGGAGAGGATTTCAAGTTAGATTTAGGCTACATATTCCAAATATATTCATATATTCCAAATATATACCAGTTTAACTCATCACAATGCAGAAAAAGAAAAATAACCTTGTTGTTTCTCACACTTAGGAAGTTCTAAAAAGTTGCATTATCTGAAATGGTTTAGAAACAGAGGGGGGCTGATATGGTGAGATGACAATGTTCTTAGCTGCGCTTTATCTACTTGTGCATCTTACTGAGTTATGTTAAAAACAAAATTATCTAATGACCCCTTTTGCATGGCTGTAGACATTTATTTTTTTTAAATAAAGTTTTATTGGGTTTTTTAAAAAGATTTAATTATTTATGCATATAAGAAATGAGGTGCAGGTCAGAGGTGTGAGAGGTGATTCACCAGAGACAGAGTGGGGGGCAGAACAGGCAGATCTACTGAAATGCACTGCTGAGGGGAGCAGCAGGGAGACAAGAGAGGTCTGCTGTACCCTGTGGGTCAGCTCCCTGTTCGGGGATCAAACTAGAGCTGCAGTGGCTGCAGATAGCTTCACAGTGCTGAGACTTAACCTCTTTTGCCACCAGGGAGGCCCTGTGGATTTCCAATTTCTTGATGTGGTTCACAGGCTTGTACATGCATGACATATACAGTGTGTTTAGATTATGTGTGTCCATATTTCACAAAACAATACTTTCCCCAACTCTCTATTTACAGAAAGTATCTTCTGTTCAACTCTATTTTAAGAAATAAATACTTGTGTATGTTTGAAAGCCAGTTTATGGCTAGATGGTTCAGTGGTTTTCTTTTTAGCTATATTTCCAAAATATTTCCAAGTTACAGTCTCCTCTTGTTCTCCTAGCATCCCAAGATTCTGAAAAGTACACTGAAGTTAAAACACCAAAATCTCCCACACCAACTAATATTTCTCCTACCCACCTCTTGTTTTCTAGTTTTCTCCCTTTCTTTCACATGATTTAAACTAGAATGTCAAGAATATTGTCTTGATGATTTGTTTAAAATAGGAAAGATATAGGTTTCAATGTGCAACTAAGACATAGATTAATGTGTACAAATTGAATGTGTGGATTTCCAGTTGAGAAATAGGATCTGTGTGAAGGAAGTGCTGGGTAACTCATATTCTTGCTAGTTACCACAGCACTGTAGGAATTAATGATATGATTTGATGGGCTTCAAAGAAAATGAAGGAAATGCTTGTAAAAAGAAACTAATTTATCATTTCCTATCTTACTCTTATTTCCTTTGGGCCTATGTTTAAAGAATCCATGTCACTGCATCAATCAAAGATTTTGACATTGATGCTTGTTGGCCTGTGAACACCAGATAATGAAATGGAGGGTAATGAGGAAAGCCGTAGTACTACAGTTGGAAGTTTTATATTCATTCTCGAAATTTCCAGTAGTTGGCTAAGACCCAGAAAGAAAAAATGGAGAATTCATAATAGAGCTCTACTGTGTCACTCTCAGACTGACAGGACTTCTGGAACTGTGACTATGAAAGTTCAATAAAATATCCAAACTATAACATGTCAAAAATCATGACTTAAGTTCCAAATTTCCCCAAAATTCAAGGGTCAAATTTCTAATGTTCCTTCTATATGTCTAGGTATGCTAAAGACATAAGAGAGTATCTCTTCAAATAGCTGAAATCTACACATGGAGAAAATGGCCACAATATACACAGAGCTGGTGTGTGTGTGTGTGTATGTGTATATACATGTGTGCTCACACTATTTACAGAGGAAGAAGAAAAATTGGATGTGGTTAAAATATTGCAATATTATGTAATACATTGTTTCTTGCTACTGACATCTTGACACAAACCCTTTTTCCATTGTATTTTTCTTTATGGAATAAAATTTAATTGTGTCCTCGAGGAAAAGAATAAAACAAAAGAGCAAAGAAAAAGAATTAATGAAGAAAATATTTTAAATTACCTCTTTTTGTTTCAAATCAGCCTCAGTACCTAAATGGCTCGAGGTGCTTAGTAGGTATTTGTTAACTTAGTGACTAGAACTCACGTCTGCCCATCTGCCATTGTGTAGATTCACACCCAACACAATATTTCACATTTTAAAAAGTTAAAATGTAAATTAAAAGATTTAAGAAACCTTCACTGAATTAACTACTAGTTCTCTGCGCAATCGGCCTTCTCACCTCTTCCTTTGTCTTCTTGGATATGACGCGGAGCCAATCCCCGATCATGCTCAGGACGGCAGCAAAGTACGCCAGGCCCACCAGGATCCAAAACCACACGACAGGCTTGTAGAAGTCCAGGTACTCGATATCCGAGCCACCTGAGAGAGAGGTACAAAACACCTTGTGTTCATAAAGTAAACGATACAGACAACAAAATGGCTGACCGAGATTTGGCTGGCAGGCCAGTCATCTTGTAGGCAATCCATGCTATGTCCTCACTCAGGTAGTCCTTAACTGTCCCTCGAGGACCAGGTTAAGTCCATTCTTCCTAACGAGACCTTCCACTGCTTCTCCAGATTACAATGTTTTCCTTGCTCCCTATTTCTATTCTGTGGATTATTATCATGTCTCGAGAAGCATAGCACTATAGAATACATAGTACGCATATTCTATAGTTTCCCATTCGTGCTACTGTGTCAGCAGAGGCAGAGATGGGTATTCAGTTTTTTTGTCAAATAAAGGAAGGCTCTAGACAAACAGAGACCCCCACTTGGGAGGGTGATACCTGTGCCTGAGCAGGTAACACAGGGGAGAAAATAGTGACAACAAAAAAAGTATAGGGGCCCCCCACTCAGGGGTTAGGTTGCAAGACCCCCATGAATGCCTGAAAGGTGTGGACAGCAGGCATCTTAGATTTGCTATGTCTCTTCCCATGCGTGCACACCTGTGATAAAGGTAGCTTAGAAAGGAAGCCCAGTAAAAGGTGGACACCAATAACCAGAATAAAACAGAACAGTTATAACAATATACTGTAACGAGGTTATGAGAATGGCCTCTCTCTCCAAATAGCTTACTGTGTGGGGTATTCTCAGACCGTGGTTGACAGCAGATGCATGCAATTGTGATCCAGATCCAGATCCCATGTTGCACAGGCCAAGCAGGAGTGGGGAACAGGGTCAACAGCACCAGGACCAGGGTGCATCAGCAGGGGCTTTGGGTGCACTCAATTCACAATTCAACCCAGACATTCAGGAAACAGCTAACAACTAACAAGTATGCTTCAGGAACCAAATACAAAATTTTGAATATAGCATTACTCTATATAAATTAGGTATTTTCAAATATTAAAGGAGCCTGGAGGAGGATAATGTGAGCTTGGGTGGTAGATGAGATGTGGTAACACACATCTGAAGAGCAATGAACTTGCACCCCTAAAGGATACCCAGTGTTGTCAACCAAAGTTATCCCAATAAAACAGAATACAATTAGGGCCTCCCTTGTGGTACAAGGGTTAAAGTCTCAGCACTATCAAGCTATTGCCAGCCACTGCAGCCTGAGCTCTATTCTGGCCAGGGAGGTGACCCAAATGGCACAGCAGACATCTCCTGTCTCCCCGCTGCTCCCCTCAGCAGTGGATTTCAGTCAGTCTGCCTGTTCTGCTCCCCACTCTGTCTCTGGTGAATCCCCTCACCCCACCCCCTACCCCCCATAGCCGAGCTCTAGCCTACATCCCACCTCTTAAATACATAAATAAAAATCTTTTTTGAAATAATAATACAACTAAAACATTTGAGAAAGTTGTTTTTAAAAACCACAAATATTAAAAAGGCCAAGAGAGATTGCCAATAATGTGAGTAGACAGAAGTTCAGTTTTCTTTAGGGACAAATAATAATTTTAATAACATAGTTTACAAAGTAAAATAATATGACCTTCAGGAGATTGTAAAATTATTTTCTTGGGCAGCATTTTTTAAAATGTCATTTCTGGGAAGGATTATGGGGACCAAACGCATCCCATGATGGTTACTACTTGGCACAAGGGGAGACAACGCCACAGGTTCACAGAAGCTACATGAAAAAAGTGTGTGGAAAATTGGTATGTGACAGGCTCACTGGTGAATTCCATTTTTCAAATGTTTCCATTTCAATGAAATCAAAATGACATCTTTCCAAGCACTTTCTCTTTCAAAACCAGAAAATCTTCATCCAAATAGTTGTGACTCACTTAACACATAAGTTCACCAAGATGTTGATTTTAGAAGTTAGTTCATGCTCAACATGACTTTTTATAAGTCTTCTTTTTTACAAACAGGATGTCACAGTTTGAAAAGAGCAAATTAGCTTAATCATTAAAAGGTCTATATTTGGGTAAAATCTTCATCCCACAGGTTTCAGTGGATTCCAAGCCCAGGAAGGAAAATGTTTTCCTATTCCTAATTGCTACTCTTAAGATGAAATGTCAGCCATCCAGTGAGATGCTGGGGCATATAGGGATATTATGGAACAACTCCCTAACGCTATTCATATCTGAACCTAAGGTTTATAAATTAATTTCCACTATTCAATTCACTTGATTCAGAAAGCTTATTCAAATTAAAATAGAGTCATGCTAAGAAAGCTTGCTAAATGGAGTTGTTTTATTTTGAAATCAGCAAAATTATTTTGTTAAGATTTATTTTTATTTATTTATGCATACAAGAACTAGGGTGTAGGGCAGAGGTGCAGAAGGTGACAGGATTCATCAGAGACAGAGTGGGGAGCAGAACATGTGGATCCACTGAAACATGCTGCTGAGGGGAGCATCAGGGAGACAGGAGAGGTCTGCTGCACCATGTGGGTCAGCTCGAACTCAGGCCATAGCGGTGATAGGTGATAGTGCTGAGACTTAACCCCTAAGCCACCAGGGAGGCCCCTAAGTCAGCAAATACTTTCATCAATTTCTTGACAGATACCAGCATCCATTTTAGCGCTGCTACCTTCAGGAGTGTTGAGCGCGGGACTGTCATTACTGAAAACCATGGGCCATTTCTTTCTCCTGGATTTGCTCCTTACATGCCCCCATGGCCAGCTACACCCCCTCATTGCTGCCGCTTCTTTGTTTTTGTACTAAGTCTTTGAAATCCAGTGTATTAGTGTTTATTTGCTGTGTAACAAATTGCCACAAAGTTAACAATTTAAAACAAGATGAATGTGTTATTCCAGTTTCCACAGGTTGGAAGACTAGGTGTGGCATGGCTGGATTCTCTTGGTCATTGCTGCTTCTGTTTCCACAGAGTGGAGGCCTGGGTGCCACAGCTGCCCTGGGCTCCTCACCCCGGGCAGGGAGGCTCACCTCACTGCTGTTTTTTTTGTTGTTGTTGTCGCCACTGAAAATATACAGACAAGTCCTTTCCGTTTTAAGAACTTTCTGGCTAGTCATCACAGAACAGACAGATGGTAATAAAAATAGCAAAGAGGGGTGGAGGTACAAAGGTTTAGAATCCCATAAACTTTTCCAAGTAGTTAGAACCAGCCTCTCTGACTCTAACAGATGTGATGGCCTCTTTCCACTGGTGCCATCTCTCTCTGGACTTCGCCCAGGCATTTGGACGAGGAAATCAGCCAGAACCTGGCCCATTTGGTGGATTCACCTACTAATGACTTAGTTCAGGAGATGCAGTTCTCTCCCCATGTGGGGCTCCTGAACATTTGCTACCAGAATCCAGGCTTAAGAATTGGTGCTAAAGAATCGGTGACAGGAGTGGGAGACAGGACAGCCCCGAAGGCCATAGCAGGTACCTTCTGGGAGGTTCTTTTATTCTGGCCTGTGGAGTCCTGCTAATCCAGGTCCTCTGCTCCTTTCAACTGATGTACTGACTGTTAGATGAAGTTGCTGTGTCCTGCAGCCTGGGGGGCAGGTGTTGAGGGTAACTGGGCCCCACTGCACATGTTTCCATCACTTAGGCTATCACTGCTAGCCCATCTGTCCAGAGCTTCAGCCAAAGCTCCAGTTACTCTGATCAGTGAGTAGATAATTCAACTATAGTAAACCTCAACTCATAAGAGACAGACTTGCGTGGACTCCAGAAGTCACGTGCAAGATGCTCCTGAACATGTGGAAGGACTCAGTCCCGCAGGTCCCTCGCCTGGCTGACCCCACAAGCGAGGGCTGACCAGCACACAGGCACTGCCTCCATTGCGGGCTTGTTGCCATGACCACAACTACTGCCCTTCCCACCACTTATGCCCTGGCCTTTTCTGTCCACCCTGTGTGGCACACTCAGCGAGGTCTGCAGACAGTAGGTCCACGCGGGTGTCTCAAGTTCTTACCTAGAAGCCACGTGCGTGAAGTCAGTTGTAATGGATGGAGCCTCCTGGCCCAGCTGGGCCTTCACACACTCCCCTGGCCCCCGATCCCAGCACCAGAGCTTGAGCTTGCAACACCCCTCCACAGGACTCTTCTCCTTCCCTATGGAATTTCTGAATCACACAGTGTTTATAAAGGACAGTGAGGCTATGCCTGGACTTAGAGACTCAGTGGCCATTCTGAACTAAGTGTCAACACCAAGCCGCCCGTGGTTCCCTAGACTGAGAGGACTTTATTCCCTAGACTTTATTATTTTTTATATATTTTACATCATTCTTCCTTTTCATGCAATGCATGCTTTCTCTTCTCAGGTGTAGTCCCCGCAAAATTCCCATCACCAATTCACCCACGACCATCACCACAGTCCCTTGTACTCTTCCCTCCTCTGTTTTGATCCCTATCCCTTCCACTCCCTTACACAGTGTTCTCCTGCAAATTTATAGTTGCCTATTACTTTGTTTTTAATTTATTATAATTATTTTTTTCCCTGATCCCTTATTTGGTTCCCCTATATTCCTCCTATAAGTGATACCATCCAATACTTTTCTTTTTCTTTCTGACTTATTTCACTGAGCATAATCCCTTCCAGCTCCATCCCTGTTGCTGAGAATAGCATGAGTTTATCTTTTTTCATTGCTGAGTAATATTCCATTGTGTATATAGACCACATAAAACCACAATAAGATATCACCTTATACCAGTGAGAATGGCACATAGTAAAACAAATAAACAAACAAACAGGAAACAACAAACGTTGGCAAGGATGTGGAGAAAAAGGCACAACTTTATTCTAAGGAAAATGAGGGTTTTCTCTTTATACAGGTCTGTAAGGGTTTAAGCTTGGATGTCAAATATTGATTACAATTATTTCGGTATGGTTAATTTCATTTTTATTAATGAAAGTGATCCTACCTTAACAGGAAGATGGGGAAATTTTTTCTGCTTCTATGAATTTTTTTATACTAAAATGATTTAACCAAGTGGAAAGCCTCTCAAACACTTTTTCAATAACATAAATTATATTTTCTTTTG